AAATCAAAAATTGAAAATGTTTCCTTTCGGCCTTTTGTCACATATTAAATGAACCATTCTGTTTCAATAAGAGGAGCACGTTAAATAAAACACATCAGTGTTTGAGGTTCACATCGTCAGAGCCTCAGGCTGATGAAGGCTCCTCCTCCTCCTCCTCCTCCTCCTCCTCCTCCTCCTCTTAAGAGCTGCAGACTAATGGGATTGGTCGGCTTTAATGCTATTTAACGGAGGCTTGGCTTCAGGGTCCTGGTTCCGCCTGAGAAACTTGACCCCTGCTCCAGAGTCAAGCCATTGTTGTGACACATGCCACCACAGAAGAAGAACATGTGCATGATGAGGACGTCGTCAACCAATGTGAACACACGTCACATATTTTAAAGTTCAAATTCACCTTTAGAATAATGTTGATTCTTTCTATGGTTGATGATGTCACTGCTCTAAATCTTTACAGGTTAATAAAAACTTTCAGTGCACAAACTGTACTAGTGCATGTTCTGAGCTCCTCCCCTTCCTGTGCGGCTCTGATCTCACCTTCCCCGCCTCACGCAGCGCATCACATGACCCACCCTTCTCCGCAGAGGTGAGTCCGTCTGAACGTGACCGGTCACCACACTTTGAGCTCCGGCGGTTCGATCCCTTGTTGTGACACCGTGTTGTGAGGAGGAGGGGGGTGAAAAGTTCCAACAAAACACAAAACATCCAATCACAGAGCTGGAAATCCAGACTCTCGTGGCCCAAGAGAAAGAATATGTTGAATATTATCAGTAAACTACTACGAAGACTTCCCTCAAACTGTTCTGGGATTTCACAGAGTTACTGAACTTTCTTTTTTTAGCTCAAAATAATGAAACAAAATGGACGTTCTGCACAAGAGCGAAGCTGAAAAATCGAAGAATGAATTAAAAGGTAAATTATTATAAATTGGTTTTATATTTTTATATCTGCGAGGTTTAATGAACAAACGAAGTCTGGTGCTTTTTCAACACCTGCATCTTATTTATCATCCAGTTAGTTTTCACATTTAATGGGATCAGTGTCTTTTTGTGCTGAAGCGACGGTGACTTTGAAAAAATAAAGACTTTTAAATAACGAAGACTTTGAGACGTTTTCATCGTGAGGAACTTTAGTTACTCAGACGTTTCATCATGAGACTTTTCATTGAAAGAAACCTTTTTCTTGTTGTGGGAACTTTTCACCGTGTGATTGTTTTTCATTTATTCGCCGTTGAAGACTAAATTTCAGAGTCAGGTTGTCTGAACTCTCCTCAGGCTGCTTTTTAATTTGACATTTTAAATTGTGTTTCACTGGAAATAAACAGTTTCGTTCTGTCACGTCTCTGCTCGAGTAGAAAAAAAAGACAAAACTCCTCATTCACAAAGTCCTCGTGACTCTCCGTCACTCTTGATTTACATCTTAATCATAATTTACTGATGTGACAGCTTCTTTTCATTCTCTGTCAACATTTTGTCATCGATCATCTCCTGAATAAAACCTGCTGCTGGTTGTGGTCACTGTTAAAACACGGTTCGTCTCAGAGCTCGTCAACCGACATCAGCTGATTTAAAACCAGCTGAGGAGGAGCTCGCCTCGTTCTGACTCTGCCGCTGCCTCACACGTGTAATTACAGCTCAGCTGCACCCGTGTACTTTCTTACTTCAGTACATGTTGATGTCAGTAATTTAGTCTTTGTGTTGTCGTTAACTGCAGAGAACACATCTTCTAATGTGCCGCGAGTTTTCATCTGCTCCAACACAAACATTAGACAGAAGAAAATCAAGTGTCCTGACTGTGTCCGTCACAGAGGAGGAGCCTGTGTCAGCAACTCACGTCTGATCATCTATGTTCTGGATTTCTGGGATCGATGAAGCATCAGGATTCGTTCTTAAGTCCAAATATAATTTTAATCTTTATAACGTTGGAAATGTTTCAGATTCTGGAGAATTTGCAGTAAAATATGTTTTTTCCTTTCCACTCATGAAGTGAATGTTGCCTCTAAATGAACTGTACGACCTCCTGCGGCTCGTTTGGGTGAGTCCGAGGTCGGCGACCTTCCTTCGGGGTCAGCTGCGGCGACCTCCCTGCCTGGGGTCGCCCTCGCCGGGTCAGCTGGGAGTACGTGTGATGCTGTGAGAAGATTTCAGGGTCAAGTGTCAAGAGTGAAAACACAAACCGGCTAATGAGGCGATGCGAGGGCTTATATGAGAACGTGTGAGGTCCGGCTGAGGTTTCTCGACTCTCCAGTGGAACAGAAGAGAAAAATCAGTAAAGAGATTTTCTGTTTCCTCTCTGGTCGTGACGAAGCAGTTTTAAATCTTTCTGTTCAACAGCTTCTTCATGTGAAGCTGAGACGCCATTTTATTTGATCTGTGCAGCACTAATACTCTTTAAATACCGAGGAAGAGAAACTGTTTCCTCTGCAGAACGAGGCAGAGAAAAGAAGAGACGGACTCTTCCTCTCATCACCTGCAGGTTTAAGTCACGATCCAGTGTTTGGAGAACCACCATCGTTTATCCTGATTCCTGGCCGTCAGTCATTAAGTGAGAGCGGGCG